AGAGATTTTTTTTTCTCTTGAGAAAGATGATTTCAGTTCTCAAGAGATCTTTTAAAATGTTAGTGCGGCAGGGAGCTGCGTGCTTTATAGACAGGCGCTGTGAAACGCGCTTGCGGAAAGGACGTGTGCTGAGTGCTGCCCCCTAAGGAATTCGGAGCGCTTCCCCGACGTTTTCTCCGTTATTTCATACGGTTTTTCTTTTTCCTGAACACATTTTACTCTTGACTATAAATTCTTCATTCAGTTTTTCTCGCTGGATTTTCTCTGAAATATGTTCCACTAACCTCCCTTCCTGCTGCTCTCTGCATTTCCAACATTACACACTCGCGCCGGTTCAGACAGCCTAGGGAAGAATTCGAGATTTTTCCTTTCAGGAGCTCAGGCTTCTCTTTCTCTCTTTGCTCTTTATCACCTTTTCAAACTTTCCCATTTATAGTATTTTCACCGTACTGTCTCCCCCTTAAAGAATTGCTTGAAACATACCTTATTCTCCTACATAAATCGGCCTTTTTTATTTAATTTTAGTTGTTCACTTGTTTCTAACTGTCTTGCTTCACAAAGAGGTTAAAGTAACTAATTCGTGGTGACTAAATGTCTTCTTTAATATGAGCACTGTGTATTGGTGTGTGAATCTGATAGTTGTAGCAGAGTTGTGGGTTGTTTTTTTTTTCCAAGCCTTCTTCTCCTCAGTCCTGAAGGAACTTGTTAACTTACCTTCTCACAATAATCATCCTCAAAGAAACAATAAAAAAGAACTATGATTTTAAGACAAGCTAATCTTTTGTTTAAACAAATCTGGTACTTCGCTCCCTTCAGAAAATAACCCCAAGGCACACCTTTTACTGGGCTCCAATCCAGTGGAAACGTAGTAGGGAGCACCTGTCCTGAGAAGATCCTGGGATCATGAGGTTGTGTATAACACACCATAGAAATCACTCCCTATTTTACAGATGTGGAAACTGAGGCTCAGAGAGTTACAGAAATTTGTCCATGATCACAGAAGTACTTAAGGACACGTTCAGAATTTAGTTAGGAGACAAGACACCTAAAAAGTCTCTAAATGAGGTAGTAAATAGCATGAAATGATGAGTGACTTGTCTATTCTGGGCAGTGGCGAGCGGTAGATGCTCACACTGGGGGCGGGGATTGGGAGAGGAAGCCCTGGTCCATCGTGTTTGCCGGTTTCATGGTGACCTGGGAAGAGCAGAGCACAGTCCAGCTGGCTCTCCAGAGTAATGGGCATCTTCTGGTTGGAGGGAGCAGGTCGCTGAGGAAGAGACCTGAGCTGGACCAGCTCTCCCCACACGTCGCACCTTTCAGCGGTGAAGGACGTTCATAGCATGTCCTTGGTCTGTCACCGAGCAGCCGTGGGGCTCTGCGCCTTTGCCGTTGCTCTTACCTCAGCTGGTGAACTACCCCTCCCCTACGGAGCTGTCTCTTAACACTGCAAGGCCCAGCCTGAATAAGGGTCACGGTCCAGCCTTTCCCTGACCCTTTCAGAAATAGTCACTTCTACTCTGAATCCCAGAGTAATTTTGTATACCTTGTATTTGGGTAATTCCCAAAGCCTGGCTTGATATTACTGTCACTAGATAGTGTCTTTCCCCACGAGACTGGAGGAGAGGGACCCAGTCCTGCTCCTTCGCTGTCGGAGGAGCAGTGCCATGCGGGGGGTGGGCGCCCAGGCTCCGGGGCCAGGCTGTTCGGCGTCAGGTCCAGACACTGTGCTCACTTAACCTGAGACCATGAGCAAGTCATCAGCGCCCTCTGTTCTCATCTGTAAACCGAGACAGTAAGTAAAGCAGCCCCCATCTCACAAGCTTGCTGGGATGACTCATGAGATTACTGGGTGTGTTTGGTGCCTGCACATACTAAGCCTTCAATACACATTGCCTGGCACTGTTACCTGTAGTGCACGGCCCAGTGCCTGGCGCGGAACTGGTGTGAAATTGGCGTCGGGCGGATTGCGTTGAAGGGAAGCAAGGACGTGTTCGAGCCAGCCCGACAGGAAGCTAGGAAAGAGTGTCCTAGAGGAGACTGCGTGAACAGACTATTGCCGGGGAAGTGGGAACGATATAGTAAATAAAAATCAGTTGGCCATAAGGTTACAGGATCAGAACCTAGCTTTCCAACTGCGGTATGCGGAACACAGAGCAGAGCGGGGCCATCGCTGCCCTCCCCTCACTGCGTGTGCTAGACGCTGCGAGTCTGTCAGTTTACCATGTGTCATTGCAATAGCTTGCGGAGACTGCTGTTCATTGCAGTGGCTCTTTTTCAATACTGTGCAATTGCTTTAAAAGAAATCTAAATGCCAGACATTAAGTATAAACATTGTTGAATTTTATCCCATTTCGTTCAGTCCATTATTCCAATTAATTCATATTGCTTCCAACCTTGATTCTACAGTGCAGTATATCTTTTGTCCTTTCTGGTTTGTGTTATCTGCAGTTTTATGAGCATGACTTCTATTTCATTTTCTGAAACACAGTACAGGCCACTTCCAAGAACAGAGTCCCCTGACGTGTCACTTGAGACCTGTGTGTTGGCATTGATTCATTAAACGATCTTTTTTTTTCCTCTTGGGATACAGATTTTAAACTCCTTTCAAATGTATCAAGTATACAGTGATCTATATTATGTTCCATCTTCTTCACAAGTTTCGTGAAAAAACTTTGCCAAAATGCTACATCTACAGCACCTTTGTTTCACAGATGTAGTAATGCTATCGGGAAAGAAAATGCAGCTAGCGTGTTGAAACCTGTTCCTGGTCAACCCATGTTAGCTTCCAAAACTGACAGCTTTCTTATCCGCCTTTAACAAAGGTTTCATGTTTCAAAATAGTGAAGTGGACTGTATCAGGGTGGGTAAGGCCCAGTGCACAAACCTTGACCATCTAGGTGAGCAGTTTGGACGCAATCCTGAGGGTGGTGCGAGGTGGTTGAACTTTCTGAATAGGGATTACATACATGCTGAAGTGATGCTTTAGGAAGAGCCACCCGGCAGCAGTGCCCACAGTGGACTCCAGGGGGAAACTTGTGTGAGATTGGAGGGTGCCAGCAGTAACCCCAGAATGGGCTGCTGGGCTGCAGGGCTCGGCTAGTAGCAACAAAGATGGAAGAGAATGCGTTTGGATTTAAAAGAAAAAGACTCAAAGAGCCTGTTGGGGGAAGATGGTAGCAGTGAAGACATAAATGAAATTAGGTGCTTCAGGGCTTCCCAACCTTTTTCACATAATTAAACATGCAGAAAATAGTGTCAGTTTAGCCACTGGGGTAACTGGGGCTGCTTGGAGATGGACATGAGCCAACATCACCGGCCGCCAGGGCTGGCCTTCCCTTCCCCAAGCTCCATCTTCCCCAAATCACAGGTGGAAGACTTTCATATCTCCACTTGGCTGGGAAGCTATTTGGACACTTTTGTTTTAGAAATAAGTAGTCTCAGCAATATGAAGAAACTCAGACCTGCACCAAAATCAGGACCAGCCGTACGGAGGAGAGTGTTCAAAGATAAAGGAAGGCAAACGTTTGCTTCAGTGCGGAATCCTGAACACAGATGTGAAATATGACTTACACACTTGGAAGAAACCTAACTAGCATCAAAGTTAAGGCCGAACAAGATAGTCCAGGCTACCACGCCACTGCCCGTGTTACAGTGACACAGGAGTGACTGTACAGGCCTGTTGTGGGCTGGGAAGGAGGCAGCGCCTACCAGACAGGTTGGGGAGGTGCAGACCAACCTGGGGAGGCCTGGGCAGAAACCGAGGTGTAGACAAAGGCAGAAACAATGGAAGGAATTTTGGTTTTGCGTTGACATGGAGATCTGAGTCTGTTTGCTTGAAAATGCATGAAGTACCACCCATTTGTTGCTCCTTGTTGAGTTTTGTCGTTAATAAGCAAAGTGGTTTTGTAGTCCTGGTGCCTCACCTGTGCTACTGATTGGCATTGCTGCGTGGAGGATGTTATAGACTGAGAAAGCGCAGAAGCTCGCAGGCCACAATTCCTGGTGATAACTGAAAATGTTTGGTTATAGAAAATTAAAAGGTGCTCCCTCTTTCTTCACTAAACTCAATGACAGAGCAAGAGCAAGAACCCACCAACAAGGCGTGCAGTTTCTATTATAAAAACAGGAATGAATGGCTAACAGAACCCACGCATTTCTCCTGGTGATTGACAGCAGGGCCACCATGTGCCTGATTCCAGGGGCAGCCACCTTTCACACTGGAGTTTGTGAGGTTGGGGTGCACAGCCCGTGTTGCCGTGTGTGGCAGCTCTCAGAGAGACCTATCTGATCCCCCCGGGGCTCCCTTCCAGCCCGGCAGGTGCGGATGTGCGCTGACCTGTGGCGTCAGCAGCAGCCGCACCTCACTCCCTCCCCCAGCCCAGCTGTGTCCGTGTTCTTTCATCCTGACTCATCATTTTATTCCAACTCGGATCCACCCAGTTCTCCACATGGCTTCCCACCAGACCTCTGTTACAAGCCGAAACACATCCTCCTGGCTCATTTGCTCTAGTCATTCCGTTGACCTTTCCAAAGCTATTTGCTGCTCTCGCCATCCTGCTCCTTGTTACAGTGAAGTAGAAAACACCAACAGGCACTCAAGGCAGGAAGCTCTGGCTCCCTCCCAGAGCTCGGGACCGGCCTCGGTTTTCGCACTGACCGCACAGCGCCGTAAACATTTGTTTACATTCCTGACTCTTCCACTCAGGGTGAGCTTGATGAAGGGCAGAGTGATGCTGCTTTGAGCCACAGGGCTTAGCAGGGTGCCCCACACATAGGAGGTCCTCTTTTAATGTTTGGTAAGCAGGTGAGTAAATGAATGTATCACCTGTCTTAGACTTGGACAGAGTCTCATCCCAAGCACGTGGTTAAGGAGGATTCCTCTCTCCCATATGGACAATACCTGCGCTTTGGCCTTTGTTGAACAGCTTCCTGGGTGATGCTAGGAGAGGCCACTCTGTCTCTGCCAGTGGTTTCTGAGTCTTTTGCTTACCCCCGTGCAGGTGGGGAAGTGGAAAGACAAGTCCCTGCAGATGAAGTACTACGTGTGGCCCCGAATGTGTCCTGAGACCGAAGAGCAGGAGGATGACCACCTGAGCATCGTAACGCTGGAGGAGGCCCCGTTTGTCATTGTGGAAAGCGTGGACCCTCTGAGTGGCACCTGCATGAGGAACACAGTCCCCTGCCAAAAACGCATCATCTCTGAGTATGGCACCCTTCCTGGCATCTCTGGGGGGCATGGGATAGTCAGATTTGACCCAGCTGTTAGCACCTGGCTGTGGCCCGAGGCATAGAATGAGTTGGGCACCATGTCAGATTCTCACTACTGTCGAGTGATGGGATTTCTGGCAGCCCTGGGGTCTGGTCTGGTTCTGTCCAGACCAGGACCCAGGAGAATGACTGCTAACTATGTGATCATTTCCTTCTGCCTCGCCTGGGCTCAATGACCAGGACCTCCAGTTTATGGAGATTTAAGTTTACTTTGGTGTTGAACTGTGTCTTCTCAAGAGGCCGGCATGTCTTGAAATTCAGAGATTTAGAAACATTTTTGGAAATAGATAAAACTAATCTATGCTGTTAGAAGTCAGGGTAATGGTTCTTTCTGATGAGGGTAGGAAGGGACTGGAAGAGAGAACAAGAGGTTTCTGAGGTGCTGGTAACTTTTCTGTATCTGGATCTGGGTTCTGGTTAAATGGGTGCGTGATGGGTTCAGTGTACAAAGATTCATCCAGCTGAACCTTTAGGATATGTGCACCTTCATAATATATATTATCCTTCATAGAAGCATTAAAAATGATGAGGAAACATGGTCCAACGTGATGAGATAATGAGATTATTGCAGTTCTGCGGTCTGATTTATTCCCTCACTCAGGCCTGATGTAAATTGTGCTGAGCCATGAAGGGGGCCCTGCTTTGTGGTTGAAGTTTTAATGGCAAAGGGTAATATTTTGCCTCCTGTATAAAGACTTGTTTTTGTTTTTCTGTTTCTTTAACTGGTTAGAAATAAAACAGATGAGGAGCCAGGTTACATCAAAAAATGCTGCAAGGGGTTCTGTATTGACATCCTTAAGAAAATTTCTAAATCTGTGAAGTTCACCTACGATCTGTACCTGGTTACCAACGGCAAGCATGGGAAGAAAATCAACGGAACCTGGAATGGTATGATTGGCGAGGTGAGTGTCAGGGATTAAGGGCCATTTCCATTTTTCATTTATTTTGTTTCATTTCAATATAAAAAAAAATTCATTTTACAAATTTTAGAAAATAGAAAGCAGTACAGTTGACCCCAGAACAACGTGGGTTTGAACCGCATAGGTAAACTTATCTGCAGATTTTTTTCAACAAATATACAGTGGGCCTTCCTTATCTGCGGGTTCTGCATCTGGGGATTCAAGCAACGCGGATCCTGCACTGTTTACAGTCTGCAGTCGGTGGAATCCACAGATAAAGAGGGCTAACTATGGGATTTAAGCATCCTCAGATTTTTATATCCGAGGTGGGTCCTGGAACCAATCCCCCGTGGATGTGGAGGGACAACTATGAGTGAAATTTTACTGGTCCCACTCTACAAAGGAAGACACTGTCAGGCCCTGAGTATCTCCCCTTGGGCAGTCCCTCGCCTTCACGAATGTTCTGACGACAGCCTTGCACCTCTCTCCCTAGGTGGTCATGAAGAGGGCCTACATGGCGGTGGGCTCTCTCACCATCAACGAGGAGCGGTCGGAGGTGGTCGACTTCTCCGTGCCCTTCATAGAGACCGGCATCAGTGTCATGGTGTCACGCAGCAATGGGACCGTCTCACCTTCTGCCTTCTTAGGTGAGTGATGTGGTTGCAGGTGTGAGGGAGATGGATGAGGAGGCAGGGAGAGGGAATGTGGGACAGGTGTGGGAGCCCGTGGCCAGGCTCTCTCAGCCAGGAGCTAGCTTGCCAGGATCTTTCCTCAGCCAGGGATCTCATGTTGGGAACCTCCAAACTGATCATTCTTCAACATGAAAACTGAAGAGCACCCCCACAAAATAGGAAGGCATGACACCCTGTAAGAAAATGATACAGGACGGGTAACCAGGGGATCCCCCTTTAGTCCCACTCCTGCCACCTACTCATCATTTGACCTTGAACAAACTTGCTCCATGCTGGGACCCAGCTTCCTCATCCACAGGAGGCGTTTCAACTAGCTGATCTCTGAAGCTGCTTCCTGCAGCTTAATAATTCCTAGTTCTGGATATCATTCAAGTATCTATTTATTTTCAATTATCTTCAAGAATTTAGCTCAGTACTACCAAAAAAAAAGGTTTTCTTTTTTCACATGAATTTCGGAGGCTTTGCCAGATAAAGCTGCTCTGATTCTTCATCCTGCCCACCCCATCCTGCCTCATATGATCCTGTACCTCACGCTGCAGCATCACTTATGTGTTAAAAGTCTTCCATATGATGTAAGACTGGGAGAGATAAAGCCAAGATTTTAATTAGATGAGGCCTTTTGTGAGCTCATACCCCATATTTTTTGCAGGGGCAATGAGAGCAAGGGGATGAAAAATAAAATGTCACTTTGAAAACAGGCCAGTGGGCTGGGAGGTAGGAAGCTGGTTTGCTCATCGACAAGCTGAAAGCCTTTGGACCAGTCACAGTCTCTCTGAAGGACACCAACACTTCTCTTGTGAAGCTATTAGAATAGGTCGTAACTGAACACTTCCTTCAGCTCCAAGGGGAGGGGGGGTTATTCAATAAATGCACTAGGAAGTGGACTTATAGGCTCCATAGAGTTTTCTGTGATTACTCAACTGTCTCAGCTAACCTTCTTACTCACAGCGAAGCAAATCCTGGCCCTGCCAATTTTATATGAAATGTTATTAGACTGCGCACCCTGAATGCATTAATCCTCATCGCAGCTTTATGTATTTTATTTGCTTTTTTCCCTTTACGGGGTAATTGGAACATGAAGAGATACAAATAAAACTTCGTAGGAACTCCAACCCTGTCAGCCGAGCACTAACCTTAACTTCTGAACTGGGAGAGCCAGGGACACGTCAGTACAGCTGTACAGTGATGTAGAAATGCCCGTGTGTGTGTGTGTGTGTGTTTGGAGTTGGCACAGTTAATTAATTACAGGGATATTATGCAAGAAGTCAGTATTTGTTGAACACCTACTATGTGATGCAATTATAGGCATTATTGTACAAACTTTGGTTATATGATCTCGTTGATGCTATTGTAGTGCCCAGTTTATGGCTTAGGAAGCTGAATCTTAGGTCATGCAGTTTCCCAGCAGCCTCTCAGCTAGTAACCGGCAGACCCAGGACTAAAGTCCAGGTACGGATGCCCCCGGAGTCCGTGTTCTAGTGCCTACGGGACATTTCAGAGCTCTGCTCCTACGTCAGGAGCTGAGACTGAGATGTGGCGATCCAACGGGAAGGCACAGGCTTTTGCTCTCAGAGGCCCTCGGTTCACAACCCAGCCCTGCCTCTTCCTGCGTATGAACCTGCAAGGACCGGCACCTCTCAGTCTTAGTTTACTGCTCTGTAAATGAATGTGATGGTCCGTGGTGAAAAGGGCCGTTACAAGGACTGTATGAACCAAGTGATGGAAGTACTTTCTAAATCGCAAAGAAAAGACCAATGCAAATGTCTCCTGCGCTTGGGGTATGGGAAGTTCCCTGGGCTTCATGGCGGAAAAGGAAGCATGGAGACAATGCTTCTACTCAGTTGTTCCCTGATCCGGGACAAAGTGAAGTCGGGGTAGGGTTGCGGAGGGTCTCTAACCACCGTCTACAGGCTTGGACTTGTACCTTCTACCTCACCTCTCTGGCTGCCGCTGGCCGGTTTTGCATTTCACAGTTGGTGTGTGCCTTATCAAGGTCCTTTTAAAATTCATTAAGTGACCAGGCTTTTATAATTATCTTGGGGGGTTCAAAAAGTAAAGTCGGTTTCAAGGCAAGGAAATATTTTCTGATTTCTAGCCCATTTTCCGCCTTTTCAATTTCATCTTTATTAATGATTTGGAAGGTGGAGAAAACAGCACCTTAATTCACTTAGTTACGAGTTTCCAATGTGATGTGACAGCTAAAAAGGCCAGAACTATTTTGAGACACAATTGAGGAAGCACTGTATTATGGGACAGAATAGTGATTGTCCCTTTTTACCCTAAAAAAAGGCCTTCAGAGAGATAGCTCCTGGAATACATGTTCAATTTCTGGATATCTCTAAGCCAGAGAGATTTAGATCAACAGGAAGAGATTGAGGAAAAATGATTAAGAAATTAAAAACAGCATGTGTAGAATGGTCTTGCTCCCTTGCCTGGTCCCACTCCATCAACCCTGTCACCTGGTGATGGGGACTAGAGGATGGTTTGATTTATAGACAAAGCATGTTCCCTTGTCGTTTGCTGGAGCCCCAGTATTGTAGATACTGCTATTTCATGTGGATGAATTTTTTTTTAACATTGACATAGTCTCACACACTAGTGATGTCTGGTAAAATACACCACAATAAAGCAGGTTTACAAAGTAAATCTAGGCTGGAGAGCTTAAGAGAAGCGAAGCAAGGGGGCAAGGGAGTTATTCATTGTACCTAATTATTACTGAACCGATCCAAGCCTGAAAGAGTAATAACTAAGTTTGTTGAGCATGAACTTGGCCACAAGGCTCAGAAGCATTGGCAAAAGCCCTTCCAGGTCCCACTGCGTGGTGTGACCACACAGATGAGAACGCAAACCAAGAGCCAGTCCAACATGCCTCACTCCCTCCTCGTCTAGTATTTCTGGCTGCACCGTATCCTGAAAGACCCAGACAGCGGTCCAAAAAAGGCAGAAACTATCTCTACAGTCTGAGAAAGGACAGGCAAGAGGCTGTTCTTCTCCTGTGTTTGAAAGAAAATAAACTTTGACTTGCCCATCAAGGGAAGGGAGACGCTCAGACACGGCCTCTTAAACCTAACCCGGGCCAGGCTCTCTGCAGGGGTGCACACACGCGTGGCTTGTTTCCCCAAGACACGTGTCTCAGGCGTGAATTAGCAGGTGAACCGATGGGAAGCCGTCTGTCCCGCTGTAACCCCTGCACCGCCGTGCTTCCCCCGCAGAGCCATTCAGCGCCGACGTGTGGGTGATGATGTTCGTCATGCTGCTCATCGTCTCGGCCGTGGCCGTCTTCGTCTTCGAGTACTTCAGCCCCGTGGGGTACAACAGGTGCCTGGCCGACGGCAGAGGTAAGGCCAGCTGACCCGCCGCGCATCGCAGCTCTCCGGTTCTCACTGCGAACCTCGGTGCCCCTGCCCTGCCGTCTGCCTCCTCCCTGAGACCGACCCACTTCTGAAAATGAATCCTCAGCCCTCTAGGCCCCCACCTTGGTGACCCATTAGAAAGACCCCAATTAAGATGTCAGTTTGAACTGACAGGTCCCCTCCCTGGCTCAAGCCTGGCCCTGAGCCTGGTCCCACCCCGGGCAGGTGGAGGAAAGCCGGTGGTAGACACGCATGGCATGAACATGTGAGGGGAAACTGTTTCCATGACCCTAGGCTGTGAGCAGTCCATCTGACAAGGTGGACTGATGAGGCAGATCATACACGTGTACCAAGAATAAGGAAAAACAGGTTTCCCCAGGGCGTACACAGGGTAGTTGTGGCTGAAAGAGTCCTCCACAGCCAGAGGATCACACTGAGGTACCAGATCTCCAGTGCACGGGTCCCTGGCTCACACCCCTCTGCCAGGGAGCAGAGGAGCTGGGTACTTGAAAGAAAATGGCCAGGAGATAGCAGTTCTCACCCATGGCTGCTCTTCGGGGCTGGCCCACTTCCGGCTGGGTAGTTCTGGAGATGTGAGTGGGTTCCTTACAAGGCAAAGGGGCAGAGACCCCATTTTCTAATATTCTGATTAAGTCCAGAGTGGGCTTGAACCACTGTATGTTTCCAAAAAGTGCCTCTCCACCTTGGTTGCATATTAGAATAGCCACCCATGCCGCACTAATTTAATAAGAATCTCTGGGGTGGGGTGCCAGGCAGCAGTGTTCTGTAAAACTCCCCTTGTGCTTCTGTTGAATTCACCGTCCAGGTTATGAACCACCCCTGTACTGAAGTACTTCCAGGTGCAGACCCGCCTTCCAATCTGGGGTTCTGGGCTGGTAGTCTGGATGCGTCCACAGTAGGGAATCGTCAGGGGATTCCTGCCTGTGCTCATCCAAAAGCCGTGACTGCCCCCATCCCGACAGGTGTTAGTAACAAATGAAACATCTGACAAACAAAGAGGACATACACACGTTGACAATGTCACTGTCACAAACCAAAGTTAGTGTGCACCTCCCCCCGACCCTCAAGGAACATCAATGAGGCAAAAATTCAGACACAAAATTCAGAGCAAGGGCTTACAATTACTGCTCACTTTACCAAAGGATGCTTGTGTTCACAAAGGACTTCAACATGGGGCCACTTTAAATATCAAGTCTCCTTGGGGCGTTTTACAACGTACCAAACTTTGATTTATAAACAACTTTTTAGTTACACATCTGTTTCATGAAATATCAGGTCCACACGCGCAGATGTGTGTGCACAGTTAGATACTAGGCTCGACACGTGTAGTCACTGATGATTTAGCTGGTGAGCAGATGCTACCCGGAGCACGGAGAGCAGCGTAAGACCTGGGCTAATGTGCTGCAAAACTGTGCAGGCAGCTGTTGGTTTCTGCACTGGAGGGGCTACACGCAGACCCAGACAGCAGGCAAGGTTTCACCATCGCCAAGCAGAGAAAGCAGTGAGGTCACGAGAACGTTATGGGCAGAAGCCCTGGCACGCTCTGTGTAAAGGTGGGGTGGAGGACAGCCAAGGACAGCCTACCTTTCCGCCCTCAGATACGTGTGGCAAAGCCGAGGGGCTGTGACTTCCCCTCTGGGCTTCCTCATACGCTTCCACGGAAGGCAGGTCTGTGGAAACCAGACGGGAGGAGTTGGCACTGGAGTGAAGTCAAGGTTGTCTTTGAAACCTTCAGTGCTAGGTGCCAGAAACTAAAGATAAACCAGGAAAAAGTGCATTCAAAGCCGTCCGGTCCCCGTGTGAGTGAAATTGGAGGAGGCCCATGACAGTGGCAGAAAAAGACCCCACTCAGCTCTTCCTGACCTTCTTTGAAGTTGAAAGGCTTTCCTGGTAGATACAGATACAGATGTCAGGAACAATGGTAATGAGGCTGCACGCGTGGCCAGAGTGGGCTGCTGCCTTTGTTACTCAGCTTTGGTGTCATCTTAGGGTCTGAGACACTCGAGGGCGGGAGGCGGCTCCTCTGGTGCCCTGGCTGAGTCATGACCACTGGCTGGAGCAGGATCCCCCCACACCCGGGGCCTCTGGCTTTTCTCCTAAGGGACCCTATTCTGCCTGCCTGAGGGTCCCAGGAGAAAAGAGACACAAGCTGTCTACTGGAAACACTGTCTGGGGAAGGGCTGAGTTGGCCGGGATGCTGCTCTGAGTGGGAACTTACCAGCTCTGTGTGCTTGCAGGTTCAAGTAGAACCGGTGGCTGGGTCTTAACTCTCTGTCCTTGTCTTTTTGTCCTGCCAGAGCCAGGCGGCCCATCTTTCACCATCGGCAAAGCTATTTGGCTGCTCTGGGGTCTCGTGTTTAACAACTCCGTCCCTGTGCAGAACCCAAAGGGGACCACCTCCAAGATCATGGTGTCGGTGTGGGCCTTCTTTGCTGTCATCTTCCTGGCCAGCTACACTGCCAATTTAGCTGCCTTCATGATCCAGGAGGAGTACGTGGACCAGGTTTCCGGCCTGAGTGACAAAAAGGTAGGAGAACCATTTGAAACCGCCCATCTATCCCTCGGTCCCGTTCTGAGCCATTCTCAAAGCTCTCGAGTGCCTGTTAATTTTCTAAATCTTTAGAATCGACAGTTCTTTCTTATGTTTCCTTAAATCGGGACACGGGAGCAGAAATCAGTTTCCCCACCGAAATAATATTCCTTCACGTTCGCCTTCTCATTTGTGAAACGTTGTCACGGGCGCGCCTGGGCTGCACATGAAGGGCTTGGCATGTGGGCGGCTGTCTTGAGTGCACAGGTCCTCTTGCTGGAGACGCCCGCGTTGCCTGAGCACCGGGCTGTGCTTTCGGATGTCATTAGAGGGCCGCCCCGCGCACCCACACTTGGGGCACCGGCCCACCGTGGTCTTTGCTTTCCTCCCAGAGCTGTTCGCCCGTGGGCTCTCCCTTTGCGGGCACACTCGTGTGTTCCCAGGGTTGAGACGGAGGGTTGCTCTCACCGTGTCCCACTGATTCACTTGATGACTGCCTGTGTGGTGCCGGTGGCTGGGTTGCCCCCAGACAGGCCGCAGGCCTCCCTGCTGGCCTGCGCAGTGGAGAGAGGAAGGGGAGTGTCTGCTGGTTGCCGTGGTCTCTGAGTGAGGATGTGCGAAACCCGTGCTCAGCACAGGTGATTCTCTAGGTCCGCCAGAAGCATGCCTAGATCCCCCAGATCTTTCTGGAGACTCACTTACAGCACATTTCCTACCTCTCCGGTACCTTAGGACTGAGAAAATGTGATTTCCCACCCCTTTTCCCAGGATGAAACTGGGTGATACCAGCAGACGCGTTTAGACTAGACGGTTTTACAGTTAATGGTTTACACGTGGGTCAGCTCTCCCCAGGCTAAACCTTAAACACTTAGCAAATGGTTGGAGACGAACGACAAGGAGAGAGACTCTCTCTGAGGGCTCAGGTTACGATCTCTTTGTCTGCTCATCACCACTCACCAAGAACATTCAAAAGCGTAAGGAAGATAAACAAGCTTCTTACGAGAATGAAAAGTAAATACACACAAACACACACACACACACAGACGAACGCCTCCCCCTTGACCTCTTTATGTTGTCTCTTTCTCTGGTTTGTCTTCCTTTTTACTTTAGTTTTCCTCCCCAGTTTTAAAAGTATCCTGTCCGACTCATGTATTTCCTTCTCCTTTATTTTTAAGCTTCTTTTTACTTCTTTCTTCCAACTCATGATTTATTATGCATTTATTCATGTATTCACTCATTTATGACTTACTTCATTGTAAGCTTCTCTCCCCCTCATTGTTCCTTTGTCAACATCCTGCCTTCACCATTGCAATCCTCTCAGAAAATCTGGGTTAGACAGCTCCCTTCACCCCTTCAACAACTAGTTTTTGTGCCTGTTTCTGTAAGTCTGTTTCTGCAGTAGTGGGGCCGACAACAGCTGTTTCCCGGGGCCCCATCCTTGGAGGAGGCATAGCTGAGGGAGCCATGCCCGTCTTAGAATGTGAGTGTGGCAGGATCGTGACAGACCGTGTCCTCACGTGTGGATCTGTCAGAGGTGTGGACGACCGGCTCCTCGCCTCAGGAAATGGCAGAGGGGTGGCGGATCATGTCCCCATGCAGAGTCTGGCGGGACCATGTGGCTGTGCAGTACATAACATGGTCGAGGGGTGGTGGACCACAGTCCCCCAGAGACTCTGGGCCATTCCGCCCTTATCACGTTGCTTTCTTCCAATGTCTCTGCGGTTTGCTTAGGACGCTGTATCTTTCTCTCCTGGGCCCCCTCCCACCTGGCAACAACCAGAAGATTTTCTACTTGAACTAAGCATAATTGAGATAGAGGGAGATTGTTTTCCCTTCTGTGGTTTTGAAAGAACATACTGTTCTAGGCTGCTTGAACCAGAGAGGCTGGGCCACTGTCTGTCCTCCACACCATTCTGGTTATGTTCCCAAAAGTTGGATCCCATTAGTTCTCTGCTTACAGAACTTCAGTGGCTCCATCACTCATAGAATAAAGACAATTTTTTTTCCGATGTGGCTTTCAGAGCTTTTACAAATGATTCCCAGTATGCCCCAGCAATTCCACCTCATAGGTCCATGCGTCCATTCTTACATCCTACGTTCTAAGCACCCTTGCCTCATATCCTTCCCAAGGATGCGTCTCTGCATCTGCCTGCGATGTTCCTCTCCTCACTTCTTTACTCCCCATACTCCCACTGAAACTTAGGACACAGACTAGAGGTCACTTTATTTGGAAAGCTTTCTCATCTGGGCTCATCCGGGAAGCTAGCCATTCTGTCCTCTGTCCTGGCAGTCATTCATACCTGTATTACAACACCTGTCTCCCACATTTACTGTAGTCATCTGCAGACCTGAACCTGGCTGTATCTACCTCTGCTTGACCATGGGCTCCACAAAGGCAGTGACCATAACTTGGTTATCATTTTTATAAAAAGTCTGTGGGAAGAGAGGGAGAAGGTATATTTCCTTGAGTCTTTTGCATAGAGCAGTGGGCTAAGCATTATAGACAAAGAAAGCAGCAAGGGAACCAGAACCCTTTAACAGCTGTTCAATTTGAAAATGGTTATCTGATACATTTCAGCATTCTGCAAATGACAAAATAGGAAATTGTAAGCATCCTACCAGAAAATGTCAACATAATTTACATAATTATAGAAAACATTTAAGTAACGAATGACATACAACTGCATGTCCATGTCAGGAACAGTACTATAAATCAGAGATTTTTCTGAAAGTGCACTTAAAATGTCAAAATTCTTACTGGTTTTACTTCAAAACACCTAAAGAAAACTAAGTCTCGGGAATGACTTTGCATGAGAGGAAGTGTATCCTGTGAATTTAGAAAAAGAAAATAATAAAGTCGTCAAAGCAATAACATTGAGAACAGAAATGAGGTGATTTGGAAGATTCTTTTTTCAATGTAATTAAATTTTCATCAAGGAAGGTAACATTTAAAGTGTAGAAGTGTTTCTAAACTCATTTTGACTATCACGGTTGATGTATCATCTCTGTAACTCGGATCAGACGATAAATATTTTGGAGTGATGATGGGAAGATACTTGTAGTCATTAAACCTATACATTTTAAGAAATTATCTTCAAATTTATGGCAGAAAAATGTTCCCAGAATGCACTTATGGTAAGGTACAAAGTCAGGCTGTTCAGAGTGAAACTGCCATGAATTCCTATTTGGGGCTCCTTTTGACTGGGCGGCTCATCACATCAGGGAAGTCTGAGTTACTCCACTACATGCTACAACTAAATGTGGGTGCAAGTTCTCACATTTAGCAGCCCTACTGTACATTCCGTCAGCTCCCCCAGTGGGAGGAGGATGTAAGGAAGCTGGTGACATCTTTTTTCTCTTAACAGAGAGCCCACAGTGCTAATTCTTGTGTTCTCAGCTTCCCAGATGAATTTCTCATTTTGCAGTCTGCCCATCACCTTATGGAGGAGAATCAGCTTGGCCAACGAAGGAGGCGCCTTGGGTGCATTAAATATGTTACATATATGTTACATCAGTCATCCTCATACGGGTATAATTAAGCCCATTCCACCAATCAGGACACCGAGACTCTGGGAAGTTTGGTGATTCCATAAAGTCACACGTTATCAAGTGACAGAACCAAAGTTTGGGTCCCTGTGTGTTTGGCTCTAAAAATCACTCTGCCAGGATGTCTCCCTTGTGGCCAATCCCAGACAAAGTTGTGACATAGCGGAGGACCAGTACTGACACCCCTGCCCTCACTTTCCCTTATAACCCCTACCCTCTCATTGAATGACCTTGCACTTAACCTAGCCCTTCTCAGGTCAGCGCACTACCGAGCAAGCCTGCTCCTACTACTTCTACTACTGCTAGTAATAACAACAGTTATCAGTATTATTAATACAACTTCAGCAATAATATCTCTGCTAACATTTTTTCAACTCTCAGGAGCCAGGCACAATGCCAAATACATTACATGGATTATCTTATGTAATGGTGCTTTTAATACCTTCATTTGCAGATGAGGAAATTGAAGCTTGGAGAGGTTAAGTAATTTGCCCTTCTGATGTTCCCAGTTGGCTCCAGCCCCTGAAGAGTGTGCCACGTGTTCAGATCCCTGGGCTTTTCCCAGTTCATCCCTTCCCTTCCTGACCTTCCATCTTCCTTCCCAAAACGTAACAAGTGAGATGCTTTTCCTCTGCTAAAACGTAGCCATCTGATTAAGCCGATCCAAAACAATCAGATAGTATTTTAACATTTGCCCTTTCTTTAATGAGTTTTTCAGAGGCATTCCTTTAAACAGAAACTGATGGTGATTTTCTGTTCTTGGACAGGCTAAGGGCCCACGGATTGACTGTAGCCTGGGCCTGTTGTGACCCTGAGCTTTAAGGAGGGTGGGAGAGTGGTGGCAGCAGGCGAGAAGGGTCAGTTACAGAGCCAGGGGGCGAAGGGAGTCTGCAGGGAGGCAGAGGCTGCCAAGGTCCCTGGAGGTGGCCATGTGGCCACTGGGCTCCCAGGGGCACCTGGCCGCACCCTGCCTTGCACACACCTACCACCAGTGCGACATATACGGCGTCATATTTTGCGGTTCTTTTCCTCGAGGCACTCTAGGAACTTTATTCACTTTAAAATGTCAAAAGGATGCTTATCTAGTTAATGAGGGTGGACATCTTTGCCTGCAACATTGAAGGTGCAACCGGGACGGCCGTCAAAAACTGAAATGCGGACCCCGCGGCTCTTCTAGACAAGGATTATTCTGAGTTTCTGAGAAGTTCCATAGGGGCTGGACGTTGCCTCAGGTTCTTTCTGCAGACCGCCGCGTCTGACTTCTCGATCAGCAGGCAAACAAATGCGTCAGTACACCTGCAAGAACACCAGCCTGGTGATAAGCGTGTTTACCCCACAGCTACGCTGGCGTGTGACGTTTGGATGGCATTTGAGCCTGCGTGAGGAAGGGGGCCGTGCTCACCACTGTACAGACGGGGCTTCCTGGCTCTGTTAACTTTATGCCGAAAGCC